GTTCGAAACTACCAGCCGCTCTGTGGGAGAAAGATGAGGCTTTCTACTCCCATAAAGATTTACACCCTCGGAAACCCTGTAGAGGGTCGCTATGGGTCGGAACCGACTCGACAGCACTTAACAACAACAACAACAGATATATATAGATATAGATATTTAGAGAGAGAGAGAGATTGCTACAAGAAACACGGGTAAACATACTAACGTCTTTACCAACTTGTTCAATGTCTTTTATAAAGTAAATGTCTACAATTAGAAGTGCTAGGTAAAATAACATGTATATTTTTTAAAAGGAAAGTTAGCCTAACCCTTTTGGAAAGTAATCTTAATGTATTAAGATCCGGCCTTTTGGCCCATTTCCTAGGGCTGTATACGCGCAGTTTGGTGCTGCTTGGACTTGAGGCCTGGGAGTACACAATGTCCTTGCCCTGAGGCACCTCTTGGGTGACAGAGACAAAGGGGTGTGTGATGGCGACCTGTCACAATAGGTAGGAGAGGATAAAAGCAGCAACCAGAGGCAGGGAAGGGGATGCACAGTGGGAGGGAGACCAGAGGCTCAGGTTGTGTGGAATCAAAAGCAGAAGCAGCTGTGAACCAGTGGGTCCAGTTTGAGGTGAGGCCCCTCCCAAGCAAGCTCCCATATCTGCGCACCTCAACATCTAAGCATCACAGTATCTCCATACAGTAACATTTGTGCGTCCTGTCTTCTGCATACGCCGAAATCTTTGACCCAACTTCTGCCAACACCTACAAGACCAGATATTGCTCAACAGACATCTCTGTACATAGACAACCCCAAGCCCAAGGTGGGGCATGGTCTGGGTCCACATTAAAGATTGTCCCGGATATACAGTGAATGGTAATCAGTACCACCACAATATCATCAATTGCTCTGGGGCAAGAAAGGGGACTGCAGAGGCATAAGGCTCCCCATGTATCTATGAGACCAAGGGAACACCTAAGCCCTGTGAGATGTGATAAGGAAGGACGGCAGGAGCCCCAAGGGACTGCTGGTAAAATCGCCATGAGCAGTCAATGTGTTTCACCGTTTTACAAAGCTAAAAGCTGCTCTTCCATGGGCATGTTTAATATCTCCATGGGAAAACTGCAGCGACAACTCTACAAGGGAGAATATGCTATATTTGCATATGCGCCAATGTTTGAGAGTGACTTTATCCAGATCAGCAAAAAAGGAGAAGTGATGGATGTGCACAACCGTAGCCGAGTGGTGACAGTGGGCATTGTCTGCACCAGCCCTAGCCTCAAAGTGCCCGATGTCATGCTGCTGGCACAACCAACTGCAAACCAGGAGCAGCACACCACATGGGACTATGACACCAAGGAAAAACGCCACAAGTGTGCACAGACCTTGGAGTTAACAAGGCTGCTTCCCTTGAAGTTTGTAAAGATATCCATCCATAATGGTGAAAAACAACAGCTCCGCCTCAAGTTTGCCACAGGTCGCTCTTTTTACCTTCAGTTGTGTCCCCCTTCAGACAAAAGAGAAGATCTTTTTGTTTACTGGGAAGATCTCATTTACCTCCTGAAACCCCCAGTGGAGGCTTACAGCGGCACCCCGGCCATCCTAGCTGGGGACACAATGGACATACCTGTGTTTGAGACAGAGGACATAAGCGCAGTAGTAAGTCTTCAGAGAGACTCTAGAGGATGGGGCCAGGGCACATAGGAAAGCAGAAAAAGGCTGGTTCTGCAGAGCCTTCAGTGCCATCTGAGGCTCAACTGAAAATGCTTTGCATTTTGATGAGCTTAACCAAATGAGTCTCCTTTTGAATGCCTTGTCACATTAGGAAGGTACCCTAGTGTTTCTCCAAACTGTTCCTTAAGGTCGAATTTCAGAGAACCCTGAGCTGTCACCTTCTCTAGTCTCATATTTCAGGGTGTAAATAAAACCATCTAGAGCTCTGGTAGCGTAGTGGTTACGAATCGGGCTGCGAACCTTAAGGTCAGCAGTTCAAAACTACCAGCTGTTCCATGGGAGAAAGATGAGGGTTTCTGCTCCCGTAAAGATTCCCAGTCGCTATGGGTCAGTACTGACTCGATGGCACCTAACAACAACAGGGTCACTATGAGTTGAAACCAACTCCACCACGGCATATAACCACCCCCACCACAGCATCCTAACCATGAAATCTATTCTTAACACTTACTACCCCAACCCAGGCAGGCTGTTCTACTGTGGAATGTTTTTGACTATTATACAGTCCTTCAAGTCATAATGTCTCTTGTGACTGTGATGTATTGATTTCTGTATATACTAGTGGTAGTGCAGACACTCTGTGTGCAGATGCACCATTGCTTAGTACCTATTTATCCGATGTACTTTATCCAATATGCAATTGCTTTAGTAGCTAAAGTGTCAAATGTGCATACCCTTTGATCAGTGATTTCACTTACAGGACTCTGTTTTGCAGAAGTACTAACCTAAGTGTATGAAATGAAAGTACCTGAGGGTGATCTCCGGTCATCTTTAATAGTGTTCTCCCTGGCACTGGAACTGATCACCCAAAACTGGAATAAGCATTGTGAGGACACTGTAGCAAGGATTCCTTTTTAATGTGGGAGATTGGATTTGATGTATTCTAAGCTCTTGAGCTGTTCAGTTACACTAAGAAAGAAGCAGATCTTTCTGATCTCACTTTCTTCTCTACTTGTTTCTTCTCACCCTAGGCACATGCCATGGAGATTGGTGGAATGGGGGATCAAGAACAAGTCAGTATCAGGAGCCTCCACATGGATCCTGAGGTGTTTGGAGCCATGCCTTCTGGTTTTGCTGGAGAAGAAGAAATTCAACATACCTCCCATATAAACTATGCTCAAGAAAGCTCATATTCCTCCAGTCACACAACATATAGGGACTGACAAAGGAGCAGGAACAGGGATGGTGACAACGGGCCCCACAGCAGGCACTGTGGATGTGGTAACAAGTGAGTCTACAAACTCAGAGAGAAACACAGCATTTGCAGGAAGAGTCTTCATAGATGCAAAAGCAAGGAGAACCAGAAAGTCCATGTGGGTAATTTTAACATGTCCTCAGAGGGCCTAACATTGGTGGATCAAGTGCTGTAAGCATGTACTTACTCTTCCTCAGAGGGCACTTCCAGTCTCACCCAAGAGGGCAGCATTACTCTAGTGACTGCAGGCACTACCTTCAAGTCAGTTTCAAAACCAGGCAAAGGTCAGTAGGAAAACCCTCATCTCCACCTTGCAGAGTGAAAGCTATATGAATGAATGGATGGAAGCCGAAAGATCTCCCATTCCAAAGTAAAGAGCAGAGGGAAAGTAAGGAAATGGACTGAAGTCACAGAAGGCATTCCCAGCACTATTGTAGGACAAGGAAGAACAAGTTAACACCATTCTGATGCTTAGTCCATCAGAGAATCAATCGCGGTGAAAAAGAAGCCATCAGAGCAAAAAAGAAAAATAAAACTTCCTCCCAAACACAAAAACTTCAGCCTCAGAACCATCACAAAGGAGACTGCTATTTCAAAAACTGGGAAGGAGCCAACCTACAAGTAGTTCAGGGTCTTTAAATATGAGTTCCAATAGGATTGGCTGGTTGTTACAGAACCTTAAGACCTCCCTGCAGTAGAGACAGTAGTTCTAGAGATCCAGCAGGACTAACTCTTTTAGAAAAAAACTCAAAGTCCATCTACAGCACACGATGCAGCACCATCTCAGCTAAGACCGGAGGAGAGTAATATCATCCATTACAGCACACATCCATCAACTCGGATTTCTGCTGGCATATGCTCTATTAACAAGAAGAGAAGCAATAAAATTAACGACAATTTATGATCAGCCTCTGAACTACCTTTAATAACGTTCCCTTGTTATTTACGAGTTATTAAATGAATGAACGGATAACAAAATATTGAAAATTACTCTTATTTACCAAAGGGTCTTAACCATTCATGATTGTAAATTTAGAGCCAAAGCATAGTCTTCAAACACTTTCCAATATATACCCAAGGATACAAGGAAGGATATAGGAAGGGTGGTAAATATAAATGAAGTCAGGAAAATACCATACTATAAAAAAAACGACAAAAACAACCCAGGTTTGAGTGACAGTATTGCTACTCATTAGCTATGTGACCTTGACCTTGAATAAGCTGCTTCCTCCTTTAAATGATTACTGGAGAGATTATATAGCTGAAATGTCTGACACAATGCAATGAGAGTGATCACTATTGCTAAAAAACAAACAAATTTAATCATACTTTCTAGATAGGGTTCATGTCTACTTTCTCAAGTCTTGAGTTTCCTTCTAATTCTTTACTAGCTTAAATCTTAATTGATTTGAGATTGTACTTTAAAATTATACTGGGTATTTTTAAAACATTGCATTTATATTTGGATGTAGTTAACCCAAAGAAACCCAAAATATTCTGTACAAGGTCTATTTACAATAAATGTGTCAAGCCTTTTCAAAAATGAAAAGAATTGGTTTCTTGTTGAAACTTCAATAATCTGGTTACAGTGGAAGAATAAAACGTCATATAATATATTCATGAGTATGAACTCCAAACGGCCCATTATTTTATCCTGATTTGTACCAATTTAGAATTCTTGTGAGCAGAAGAACAGTCTAGATGAAACCTGAATATAGAATGGATTTATAATCTGGGCACAAACCAGAAAGAGGCAGTGTTTCATTCAGTTGTATACATGGCTACTTTGAGTTGAACCCAACTCCACAGCACCTAACAACAATACAGATTTTGAATAAAGAACAAAAGAATTTTAGAAGGGTAAGATCCACAGGCTAAGGGAGAATTCTGAGTCTGAGTTATAAAGGGATACATCACAGTTTTATAAGCCAGAACCAGAAATTACAGGTAATTTGGCTCCTGAGTAAATCTGTGTTCTTTCTATAATCTTCATGGTTTCAGAAGTTTATCACTATGCTTGAATGTAGAACATACACAATTTCTATAGCACTGGTGGTTGTTAACCTCAAGGTGAACAGTTCAATACTACCAACTGTTCCACAGAGGAGAGATGAAGTTTTCTACTCCTGTAAAGATTTACAGCCTTGGAAACCCTATTCAGGGTCACTATGAGTAGGAACCGACTCCAAGGCATACTATCACCACCACCACTCTAACTGCACTGGCCCCGAAGGCTCCTCCTATATCAACTACTAAGGCACACTGCTTTATCACTATATACATAGTGTTTATGGCTTAATGTGGAGTCCTGGTTATAAGATAAGTACCTACTAACTACAAGGTTGATGGTTCAAACCCACCAGCTGCCCCTCAGAAACACCATTCAGGGTCGCTATGAGTCAGAACATACTTGATAGCACAACAACAACAACATGTCCTAGCCTGGTGCTGTAGGATAAGCACTGGACTACTAACTGCAAGGTCAGTAATTCAAGCACCCCTGCGGCTCCTTTGGAAACCTATACAGAGTTGCTATGAGTTCCACACCAGGACTCCTGACTATGAAAAATATATACCTATGAATGCTAAAGGAAAGCCCATCTGCACTAGTAACTCACACTCACACATTAGAATCTATGTAGTGAGAACTTTAGTAAAAGAAATAGTTATGTCCCCTTCCTGGCTTGTTAAATCGAATTCAGTAAAAAAGGATACTGAAGAACAAATTTATAGAGTCAATGCATTAAAGTAAAATTCCAATAAGAATACCTTTAAAAATTAGCCTGATAACTGTAAAATATAAACGTAAAAAGCAAGCCATCATGTCAGCTGAGAGTATTAATGTAATAAAGAATTTATTCTGCCATATATTACAAGGAAAATATCAAAGCCAAGTCATAAAGTTTTAAAAAGTAAGAAAACATACACACAAAGAAAAACCATAAGTAAATTCAAGATGAGCGGAATGGGAGTTATTGTTGTCTGCAAAGTCATTGGAAAACTAGATACCAACAAATAAAAAACATATATATAAAGTCATATTCAAGAGATTTTAAAGGAATTCTAGATGAGAGGAAATAAACAAAAGATATAAAAAATTCCCAACTGGTAGTTGAAATTTCTTAGCTCTCAAACTACACATTTACAAACATGCATATATACAAAGTAAGACAGAAGGTAAAGATTTAGAGTACGAAACACTTTGTGACAAAACTACTAAATTGTTGTTGTTAAGTGCTGTCAAGTCGGTTCTGACCCATAGCGACCCTGTATAGGGTTTCCAAGGAGCGACTGGTGAGCTTGAACCACCAGCTTTGTAGTTCAAAGCAACCTTGCAGTCCAGCAAATTAACCTACAGAGCCATACCAGGACCACAATATCTAAGGAACCAATATATTTTATTGAAGCAATACCAATCTTTATAGAAAAATTACCAAAAGACAAAATATATAATTTTCATTCTTTACAATTATAAAAAGTTATTACCAAGCAAGTAAAATGCAAAATATAAACAAAATAACAATATACGTTAAAAAGGTAAAGTAAATTTTAATAAGGTGGTGGAGAATCAGATATCGCCATATTACTGATGGCATTTTGAAAAGCAGAGTGATCTAAAATTAAATTTTTATTTAATTTCAATATATTTTTCCAAAAATTTTAAATTCAAGGCAAAATACAAAGTAATGACTTTTAAAAATAATTTTTACAAAAATGTTAATTTATAGGAAATTTTTAAAAATTATTGATAAACTATTAAGTGGACTCCTGGCATGGCACTGAAGAATCAGCACTGGACGGTGAACCACAGGTCAGCAGCTCAAACCCACCACCTGATCTTATGAAACCCTATATAGAAACCTTATAGGGTGGCTATGAGTGAGAACTGACTTGACAGCACTTAACACCAACAACATTAATTATTGTTATAATAACATAAGACCTGTTATGTTATTACATAGAATATGTAATAACATAAGACCTATTATACATATTCACCCATGAAAATTTCAGGCAAAAATCTATGTGCAAAAATTGTAAGAGAAAAACTAAAACTCTAGAATATACACATTTGTTTATTGATTCATCCAACCATAATTCTGAATATATGTCAGAAGCAATGTAAATACCATAGATGTGGAGCAAATAGATATGGCCCCCTGGTGTGGAGCTGTGGGTTAAAAGCTGGACTGCAAAATCAGTTTGAACTACAAGGTCGGCAGTTCAAATTTACAACTGTTCCTTAGAAACCCTATACATGGTCACTATGGATCAGAACCAATTCAATAGCACTTAACAGCAACAACAGCAAGGATCACATATATATAAATAATTTCATAAAGGTTAGGAAAACTTTCTTAAGAGTCCTAGGAATAATCCATTCACAGTTAGTATATACGAAGAAAGAATCCTGGAAGCGTCGTGGTTATGAGTCGGGCTGCTAGCCTCCAGGTGAGCAATTTGAAACTACCAGCCATTCCACAAGGAAAAGATGAGGTTTTCTGCTCCTGTAAAGATTTATAGCCTCAGAAACCCTATGCAGGGTCACTATGAGTCGGAACCAACTCCATGGCACACCACTACCACTTAAAAAAGATTGTTGTTTTTCAAGTAGAATATTCTAATTGGATTATTCTATTTAGCTTTCCACAATTAATACTAGACTCTGAGTGGTATCATCAAATTACCATAGAGACATAGGAAAAATGTGATAGGACCATAGGCACCAACTGCTTGATATTTGTTGCAAAAGAGAAAAATATATTTGTTGAGATGTAAAATAGTGAACAATTAGCATGAATTTTCATTTCTCATCATAAGCGCTTGTTTTCACCCATGCACTATGTTGTGGATTACTACCACGCTGTCCTTTGCATTCTGTTTCTTTGCATCTTTGTAGAGGGTTATTTCCACTGCAACCTCAGATTTTCTCAACGCCGCTTAAAAGCGCTTCCTCCTCTCTGAAATTCTTCTACGGGTTTATGACCCATAACACACAATAGGTATTTGAAGATGAGCCTACAGAATTAAAAGTGACTTTAATGAACAGTGTAAGGGTTTCAAAGTTGTTCTCAACCTTTTAGTGTTCTGGTCTCACTTCTTATTTGTATTATACAATCCATAGTGGTATACAGTATTCTGCAACATCTCTATTATGCCAAGAAAAGTTTAGTGATGTGCTTTTTAAAGAGTCCTAGTATGCCATCTTTAAACTCAACCTTTACTTCATTTTTAAATGATTATTTAATTTTATATAGCATTTCTTAAAACGATACCTTTCCAGATCATAAATATTAGAACCTCAAATTTAAGTCTTTTAGAACTAGCATCATAACCAAAATAAGAGAATCATATAAAAATTATGTGATTTCTATGTTTGCATCTTTTTGCTAAGTGCCATTGAGTCGATTCCGACTCATAGTGACCCTGATAGAGTTTCCTAGGAGTGGCTGGTGAGCTTGAACCGCCGACCTTGTGGTTCAAAGAGACCTTGCAATTCAGTGCATTAACCCACCGCGCCACCCCAGGACTCCGTGTTTGCATACGCACACTCATGTATTCCAAATCATATGTCATTGTTAACTCAGCCTGCAGCTGGAAAAAAATTACAAAGTGAACACGATACTAATTGAATTTCTAGGGAACAAAAAGATTTACTTTAAAACATGGGCAACTATTTTTAGGTTTTATTATACTTTAATAAAAGCAAACCTTTACCTGTGCAAGAATGGGGAAACCAAGGTTCCTACATCCATTACAAGGAGTTAATGCTTCCCAAAGTCCTGAGGGCCCACAAGTGTTTTCATCATCATCATCTTCTTCTTCTTCCACTTCTCCTGGTGACAAATTTATTGTAGATGAAGTTCTCTGAAATTAAATTTATATTATACCAATATATTATATCAATTATTTAGATATCTTAGCACAAATTAAATTACATCAATTGCTTGTGATATATATTAGCAGACAAGAGTCAGCTTACTTCTATAACTATGTTCCTGTACAAAGGACTTTCAGAACTGTGACCAAATTATGACAGAGACATGAAAAATGTGATGGCATCTCCAATATGCATATGTCAGTTTAAGTTGAAAGTGAAGGAACATAAAATATGAAATTCATTAAAAAAAAAAAAAAAAAAAACAGGATATGATAATTGTTGTTGTTAAGTGCTGCTGAGTTGGTTCCAGCTCATACCCACCCTGTCTAGGGTTCCTGAGACACAGCTGGTGGGTTTGAACTGGTGACCTTGTAGTTTGCAGTCCAGTGCTGATCTTACAGTGTTACACCAGGATAGAGTAACATTTCTGTTGTTGTTAAGTGCCATGGGGTTGTTTTCAACTCACAGCAAGCCTATCTGTATAGGGTTTTTGAGGAGCCATTGGAGAGTGTGAACCACCAACCTTGTGGTTCAAACCGATCTTACATGTCAAGTACTTATCCTACAGAGCCACACCAGGATTCCAGATTTGATAATAACCACCCCCACCTCCACCCCAAAAAAAGTCTGGATAGCAGAAAATAAGAAAAATCTTATAATTCATCAAGAACTCATGAAGACTAAATATGCAGTTAAAAGAATATAAAAAAATTTCTTTCTACTGAAATAGGAATTGGTAGAGATACCATTTTTTTTTTTAATGTTACAAATGCATAAGATTTCATATAGTACATGTGACCGGGGCACTCACTACTTTTAAAATTCATAGTGGATCTTCCATGTTGAACATCTACATTTACTTTCATTACCTCCAAAATCTCAATAACAACAGTAAATCATTTACTTAATTTTTTTTTTAATGATCAAAGAGAACAAGATAGGTAGGTATAAAAAAATACTTAAAGAGAAATGGGTTATTACTTGAGTTGGCAAACTTGAAAAAAAATGGAGACCAAAATGTCTACAAGAAAGACACCAAACAGCAGACCATATCATGATTCAACATTTCAAGGAATTATAGAGACTGGCTACTTGTGAAAGTGTGGGTGAAGGTGGGGCGGAACGAATGTGGAAACTCTAGACAAGGAGCAGTTAGGCCCTAAACTCATTGCCTTCGTCACCCACTTAGGAATGAAACTATCACTACCTGGCAAGAAATAAAAGGTTTATTTTCTGGAGAAGTTGAAGCAAAGGGATTAGGAACTGAAGAATCTATGCACAAATAGAGTGTCTTCCCATATTTGCCTTAGACAACATGGTGGCCAGGTTGATATATCCCAAGTAAGAGACTAGAATATTCCTCTCTGCAGAATTTGACCTCCCAAGAAATAAAGGACTAAAAGAGTCCCCCAGATATCAGGATACATACCTTAGCCCTATTGTGAAGTCCATCCTTCACACCACCTTTCAACATGCTACATTAAAACTGTTTCTAATGTTTTTAGTAAGATACAAGTCAGTACTCAGGATCTCTAACTACTTGAAGAAAATCTCTAAATATACAGAAAGAGTTATAAATAATATCCTCAGAGACAGAGTAAATGTTACAGCCATGAAAAAAGAACAAAATGCTACAAAATAAATGCATATATAAAAATCCCATGAAAGAGTTGAAAAATAAACCTGAGGAAACTTCACAGAAGAAAAAACAAAAGGATGAAAAGAAAACTAGAAGATTTCAAACCAAGATGTCCAACACCTGAAAAAGAGGATTTGCAGAAATTAAAATAGACAAGAGATGGGAGAAAATTATCCAAAGATATGGTAAAAGAACATTTGCCAGAATTGAAGAAAAATGCCAAACCCACAGAGCCTTCAGAAAAAAAAGAAAAAGAAAAATCTACATATACAAGTAAAAAAAGATCTAGTAATGCAGAGGGGTTAAGCTTTGGACTGCTAACCACAAGGTTAGTTCAAATCTATCTATAGTTCCACAGAAGAAAGATGAGGTTTTTCTGCTTCATAAAGATTTTCCATCTCAGAAACCCTACGTGGTTGTTCTGCTAATTTGTATTGAGCCAATGACAAGAGGTTATATAAAAGTAAACAGAAAAGGAAGAGATTGCCTAAAGATATGTGATCAAATGTTTAACACAACACCCTAGATTATGATTACTGTAGTACAGATATTAAACATAATTGATTGCAAGTAGCAATCGCCCCCAAAAAGTTGTTGTTTAAAAAAATGGAGTAAGATTTTCTTCTAATTCTTACTTCAAAATATTTGCTTTTCTGCATTTACATCATAATTTTCCCTTTATCAGTTCTCAAGCCCTAAAAAAAAAGATGAAATCAAATCTTTCCCCAAGCAATTACTACACATAAGATACGATAATAATACTATTTGCATAGCACTGTGGCACCATTGCCACAGCATTGTCTGTTGTTTATTCTTTTCATTCACAAAGTCATCTTTTGAGACGAACACTATTATTTTCTTCATTGTGTTTTTGTTGTTAGGTGGTGTCCAACTCACAAGGATACTGTGTACAATGGAAGGACAAACTACCCAGCTGTGTGTCAGTCATAGAATCCTTGCTATGTTTGAGTCTACTGTAGACAGTGTGTCAGTCCATCTTGTTAAGGTTCTTCCTCTTTTTCATTGGCCCTCTACTTTATCAAGCATGATGTCCTTCTCCAGGGACTGGTCGCTCCTGATAACATAGAAAAAGTACTTAAGACTAATAAGCTCACTGTTAAAAAAAAAAAAAAAATGGCACCAACAATCTCTCCCACAGCACTTTGGCCATCGGGGTGGCCACAAAGAATTCAGATACCATCATCACAGTTAAAGGGTTTATTAGGGAAATCAACACCTTACAATTCAGGAGCAAAAATACTGAGCTGTGAGTCCCTCCAGTCAAGACAGCCTCTCCTTAGCGATGTCCAGAGACAGGCCTCTCTCTCTGGTCCTCTGCCCCTTGACCTGGCCTCTGTTCTGCTTCAGCAATCTTACAAAGCTCTTTTAGAGCTGCTGACATATGCCCAAAGGACATTTCACTATGAATGTCTCAGCCCAAAAGCACTAAGTTTTAGCTTCATAGGTATGCAAACTTAGCTCTTTCAATTAAGTGCCTGCAGGCACTCCACACTGCAAGTAAACCTCCTGCCCAAAGTCATTCAGCTTTCCTTATTCTGGGGGCTGGGAAACCCACTCCTCTGGCTGTTGGTTCTGCTGCTGCTACTCCTCTGCCAGTCTTTCAGTTTCACAGCTTTCTGTCCTAGAGTCGAGTAGGTTCAATGCACAAAGATCTCGGGATCCAGACACACTCTAATCCTAGCTCTTCTATTTTGATGGTAGTGCAATACAAAATGAGCCCTTCTTATTTTATACCCAGCAAGAGTACTTGTATGGCACAGTACGATAAGCACTTGGGTGGCTAACCGCAAGGTTGGACATTCAAACCCATCAGCATCTTCTTGAGAATTCTAAATAAGGTAGCAATGAGTCGGAACTGATTCAGTAGCACTAAGTAACAAGAAGATGGAAAACAGACCAATCACAATTAGTTCTGTTAGCAATCATTCATAACTGAATCATATAATCTATCAGTACCTTCCTCCACCTTCTCTTGCCCAGACCCATCATAAAAAGGTAGTTTGGTGGGAGGTACTAAGACCTGGCTAGAAAAGACATCTGAAATACTTCACACACTATCCTTGCTTGTAAGGGGCATTCCAGCTGTACTTCCAAGGCAGCTTCTCTTAGTCTATAGTAGGTTCATATTTTTCACCAAAAATGTAATTCAATGGCATCAATTCTTCTTTGAACTTCCTTATTCATTGTCCAGCTTTCACACATATATAAGGTGACTGAAAACACAATGACTTGAGTCATGTGCATCTTAAGCCTAAAAGGGGCATCTTTGCTTTTTAACAGGGTATGGAGGTCTCTTGCAGCAAATTTACCCAGTGCAATATATCATTTGATTTCTTGAATGATGCTTTCATGGGCATTGTTTGTGGATCTAAGTAAAATGAACCTTTGACATCTTTAAACTTTCCTCCATTTATCATAGTGTTTCTTATTAATCCAGTTGTTAAGATTTTTGTTTTCTTTATGTTGAGGTGTAGTCCATACTGAAGGTTATAGTCTTTGATCTTCATCAGTTAACGCTTCATGTCTTCTTTGCTTCCATCAAGCAAGGCTGTATTTATGCATATCACAGGTTTTTAATGACTCTTCCTCCCATCCTGATGCTACATTCTTCAGATAATCCAGTCTTGTCCAGTGCAGGGCAGCTAATTATTTATTATGGCTCTTTTAGCCAAATTTCTCTGATCCATGATATATTATAAATCCTAGCCTCTATGTCTGTGATAATGGACCCATTTTGAAATTCCTTGCTCAGGAGTAAAGATTCAGGTGGGACTGTAAGATAAGCACTGAACCAAAAGGTCGGTTTTAACTGCAAGGTGGGTGGTTCAAACATACCAGTCACTTCTTGGAAACGCTATACAGGGTGGCTGTAAGTCGGAATCAACTTGAAGGCACTTAACAAGAAGGAGGAATAAAAATTACAGTGGAACTAAGGATTAAGTATACCCCCTCTTATTAGAGAGTGTGACTCATTCACCACCCTTAATTTCCCTTGGGGCAAGGTCTGACTTCAATTTATAAGAGTGCTTTGGACAAGTTTGCTCTCTTGCCCTGAATCTTGTATCTGGCTCATGATGTCTGACCTCCAGTTCAGGCAACTTTCAGCCCCATCACCTGACCTGATTCAACAGTTCCCACAATCTTGTGCATCAACAGCCTGTTGACTGACCTGCCAATTTGGGTTCCTCAGCTTCTGACAGTACGTGAGTGGGATGATTCCACCAGACTGATCTCTCAACTACAGATTTGGAACTTGCCAATCTCTACAATTGTGTGAGCCATTTCCTTTTAAAACTGTTAGTTTTGTAAGATGTTGGAACATGTTGC